TGATATCTAAAATAGCTTGTACTATTCTTGAGGACAGACAGCCCACCTTCTCTTTTGTAAGTGAAGACTAAGGAATGTTTTCTGTGGATACTTCCAACCAAGACACTGAATTTAGGGTGGAAAAAAGGACTACTTTTATTCTGATTCAAGCAAAACATTTTAATGTGACCTGGAAGACATAAAAGTCATCACTGTAGGGCTGAAAAGTCACCTGCCTCACCAACCCCCTTTCCCCTAATAGTCTATAAATACTGGGATGTTTTCACCCTGGGGACCAATTAAGGGCCTTTCACCCACCACACTCAGTGCTAATGGATCAGCACTGAAACCACAACTTCTTTTGCCCCAGCCACATAAACACTCACGATGTGGTAAGAAATGTTATTCCCCACCAAAATTACCTGGCTACATGCCCTAGGCATGAAAGATTCTCTTCCCTTATGAGCACCAATGATTCATTTGAAGAGACAACTGAAGTAATTATTTCCCCGCTCTCGAGACGCCGAGGATCTCTCATTTCTATTGCAAATTTCAATGTGCTTGGGGTAGGGTGCATTAGCCAGAGATCCAGAGCTTCAGAAAGGTCCCCCATTACTTGCAGAGTAATTTATCACTGCCTACAAATGTGTTAGAAGTTTGTAGACACCAACAACATCTTCCCTTTAAAAGCAAATAGATTTGAAAGAGGCTTTGATTATCTCGGGCCAGCTTCTGCCTTGTTTTAACCTCAAGTGAACAGAGTTTAATCTGAGAGACACACAAAAGCCCTAATGCCCTCCTTCCTGACCCAGTGCTGACAGTGACAGGAGGCATCATAGCTACTTCTGACCCAGTTTCTGATAGGCAGTTCAGTCTGCAAACCCAGAGGGCACTCATGAGCTACGGGCTGCCAAGTGGCCGCTGAGTGGTGGCCATATCTGCTCTGCCACATGGGCTCACTACAGGCCTAGGATTTTGGATGACGGTCTTGTATATGCCGCCTTATGTTCCACTCCCCTCGAAAAGCCTGAGAAAACTGTGAACTTTAGTTTGCTTAGAGTGGGCCATGACAAGCCTTCCTGTGGAAGGTGCTATAGACTGAATGTTTGCATTTTCCCCAAATCCATATATTGAAGCCCTGATCTCCAACATGATGGTATTTGGAGGTGGGACCTTTGGTTCTAACAGATCATGGGTAGGAGCCCTCATGAGTGGGATTACTGCCCTTAGGAGAAGAGACATAGGAGAGATCTCTGCTTTCCACCCTATGAAGATACAAAACAAAAGGCCATCTGCAGACCAAGAATCAGGCCCTTACAGACACCAGACCTGTCAGTGCCTTGACCTTGGGCTTTCCATCCCTCAGAACTGTTAGAAATAAATGTTTGTTGTTTAAGCCACCCAGTCTATGGTATTCTGTTAGGGCAGCCTAAACCGACAGAGACACCTGGGAATCTACCTGTATCTTCATATCCACATTCCAAACTTGACATGTGTTTTAGAACCAGACATAGCTCGACCTGATTCCTATAACCTCCAAGTACCAGTGCCACCTCATGGATGCCACTGCTGGCATCAACAGCGGTTTGAGCCATTGCTTGGACTGCCTTGGCTGCCCCATAAAATGAAACGAAATCAAAACAACACAAAACACCACACAGCCTCTGCAGCACAATTGGCTGCAACAGCCTTTGTGAGACATTCCAAAGAATGAATCTCACCCATGCAGGTTTGATTTATTTCCCCAACTCGTGGGGTTCTTTGTCACCACCAATCCCAGCAGGGTTAGTACCCAGGCCTATTAATTTATGACAGGTGACTTAGATTTCAGGTCACAGGATTTAACCTGCCGTAAATCCAAATTTGCATAAGGATACTGGGCATTCTACTATATTCGATGCCAACAAACTCTAATGCGGTTAATTAACCACTGAGCACATTTACTGATAAGCTGTTCATTAGAGAAAAAACATGACAACTCGCAGTGTTATCAGAGTCCACAATTTTCAAATCTCTTTTAGAAATGCTTTTCTGCCATACGGACTAAAAGCTAGCAAAAATCACAGTGTAGTCATTCTCAATACTGTTTTCATGCAATCTCAAGTATAATAAACCCTTAGAAATGAGAACCAGATTTACAGAATTTCACTTTATTTTTTCATATAAGCTTTCTCTTCACCTTATATTTCTTTCAGGAGATACTGAACTGACGAAGGCATTGGCGATGTCTTTTTTGTTTGTCTGTGTTAAGCCAGAATTAGCTCATTCAGTCACACAGGAAGCATGCTTTTATATATCAGTATGTTATGCTAGAGGGAAGTGTCCTGTAGGTGTGACCAATTCCCATTAACAGTGCATCTAGCATTTAGTCTTCTGTTTCAAGAATATTTTCTCTCCTAGTTCCCTATAGGTAGCACGCTCCCAACTCACTGCCTCTTGGACCTGATTCTCTTTGTCATTAGCACCATTAATTGGGGAGCATCCACAAAGCACATGATCCAACCTACCTCAGCTGTGCAAATCTAATGACCAAAAGTAAATCAATTCAGCATTGGCTGCATGTACTTAATACATGATAGCCATGGTGCCTGGCCCTGGGGATGCAAAGATAAATAAATACAGTCACTCCTCAAGTAACAAACAATATGTCGACGCCTTTGATTGTCCCTTGGTTCTTCATCACTTGCGTTTACTCTTCTGTTAAGAGTAATTTGCTTGAGTTCTCTCTAGAGAAGAGCAGCATTTAAGCAGAAATATTAGATGGAGACGCTCACAATATTCCAGGTCATGTTGGTCTCTCCCTTCCAAAGTCTTTAGTACAAATTGCCATCACTGACTCTGCCATATGATATAGCATTTTGTTATATTTCTTTATGATTCGATCCTTTAAGTTCTGTGTATTTTTTGCATCAACTGCATCTTTATCCACTGTAAATTCTTCATGCAATAAACATACAGACAGATAAGATGGCAAGCTGCTTTGAAAGGAAAAAGAAATCCTGTCACATCACTGTTAAAAATGCATAGCATTCAACAAACACCCTAAACTGAATTGATTGAACTCAACTGAATTGATTGATAGTGTCTTCTAATATTCTTTGGTGTCTCAAAGTTACAGATCTATGAGGTTTGTATTCCATTTGCTAAACACATAAATACATCCTTGAGGTGTTTTATTTTTAAAAATTTAGAGCAACTGAAAATAAGCCTATGAACTACTTTTTTTCACGTTCTTGACTTTATTTACATACTGATTTTTATCATTTTAACTTTTATTTTAGATTCAGGGAGTCACTGTGCAGATTTCCTGGATATATTGTACGATGCTGATGTTTGGGGTACAATTGATCCCATCACCAGGTACTGAGCATAGTACCCAATAGCAAGGTTTCTTATATGTACTTAATAAATACATTTTAAAAGCTTGACTGGGATATTGTTTCAACATTTAGCTTTCTAGTAACTTTAGCTTTTCCACTTTCACTGTCTTTTACTCTCTGGATTTGAAAATGATTACCTCTTTCATTCAAAAGCAAAACAAAATGATTACCTATGATGTCTAAATTCTCAGCTATGAGGGCACTTTGAGTTCTCAACTTCCTGGTCCTCTCTTTGGCACTAAACTGCTGATTATGCCATATACCTGGAAACTTCCTACTTTCTTAGCTTCTATGACAACATTTTCTCTAGTTCTTCTCCCACCTCACTAATTTTCACTTTTAAGCCTTCTTTTAAATATTAGTTACTCTCAGAACTCTTCTCTAAAATACATTGTTCTTCCTTTTGATGTGGTTTCTTACCTGATCTCATCAATTTCAATTAATTTAACTTTATTGCTTATATTCTAGTTACAGTTACAGCTCCAGCTATTCAACTTGACCTTGTTCTCCAGCTAACACAAGTACACATCAAAAACAGCCCTTTCCCCATAAGGCCTGCCTCTCCTCTGCACATCAACATTCAATTAATGCTGCCAAGCCAGAAACTTGTGGCTTCCTCCTGCCCTTACCTGGAACATCCAATCAGTTAATCAATCTTACTCATTACCTCCTTGTTGGTTTTCTGATACTCAATTATACCCACCTAAAAATAAGGCCCTAGCCCTGGTGCATGCACACATCTTAAACCTTATTTTACATTACTCCAGCAAGACTGAGCTCTGTGTCTATGAAATGTCTTAGCACACCTAAAATACTTAGAGTTCCTGACACACAGTACGCACTCGATAAACGTTAGCTGCTATTACTGTCAGAGGCATTTGAACCAGAGAAACTCCATCTTGAATAGGGGCTGGGTAAAACAAGGCTGAGATCTGCTGGGCTCCATTCCCAGGAAGTGAGGCATTCTAAGTCACAGGATGAGACAGGAGGTTGGCCCAAAATACAGGTCACAAAGACCTTGCTGATAAAACAGAATGTGGTAAAGAAGCTAGCCAAAACCCACAAAACAAAGACGGTGGGAAAGCTGACCTCTGATCATTCTCACTGTTCATTATACAGTAATTATAATGTCTTAGCATGCTAAAAGACACCTACATGGTCTAAAAAGGAGAGGAACCCTCAGTTCCAGGAACCACCTTCCCTTTCTCCCCTTTTCCAGTAAAAGGGAAAAAGCAATGAAGCAAGAAGAGATCCATGTGCCACTATCGGTGTGAAACTAAAACCATACTGACAAACAGGCCTCAGATCTATCATTTGATAATCAAGCCAAACTACCTGTGTAGCATGGTAGCACAGAGCCCGGTCCTTAGCAGGCATTTAATAAATATCTACCTCTTGCTTAGCGTATAATCAAAACATAACCATAAAATAGCCAACCAGCAGCCGTCGGGGCTGCTCTGCCTATGGAGTAGCCATTCTTTTATCCCTTTACTTTCTTAAAAAACTTGCTTTCACTTTATGAACTCACCTAGAACTTTTCCTTGGTCCAAGAAGCCTCTCTTGGGGTCTGGATAGGACCCCTGTCCAGTAACAGTACTATTGCTACTACTCCCCTCCTGCCACTTTTACTTCCTTTGTCTGTATTATTAGTTCTCCATGCTTATCATGCTATTTTGCATGCTTGTGACTTTACTGATGCTACTCCCTCTCCAAGAAATTACTGTTTTTGTCTAACTCCTCACTCTTCAAAGAATTTTTTTTAAAACTTTTGTTCATGTTCTTTCTCTTTCAGGAGACCATCTCTAGTATCTCAGATCAGGCTAAGTGCTCATATCTGGGGCTTCATTATAAACCTGTGAAAACAGGGCCGGGCGCGGTGGCTCACGCCTGTAATCCCAGCACTTTGGGAGGCCGAGGCGGGTGGATCACGAGGTCAAGAGATCGAGACCATCCTGGTCAACATAGTGAAACCCCGTCTCTACTAAAACTACAAAAAATCAGCTGGGCATGGTGGCACGTGCCTGTAATCCCAGCTACTCAGGAGGCTGAGGCAGGAGAATTGCCTGAACCCGGGAGGCGGAGGTTGCAGTGAGCCGAGATCACGCCATTGCACTCCAGCCTGGGTAACAAGAGCGAAACTCCATCTCAAAAAAAAAAAAAAAAAAAAAACCTGTGAAAACTTTGACTAATCTATCTATTTAGGTAGACAGATAGCTAGATAGATCTAGGTGGATAGACAGATAGATAGAATTTAATATGTTGCACTATAATTATCAGGTTTTGCCTGCCATTTAACTATAGCAAGAGTCAGCAAACTAACCCCCTGGGGCCAATCCAGTTCACTTCCTGCTCTTGTAAATAAAGTTTTATTAGAACACAGACACACTTGTTTGTTTATATATTACCTATGACTGCTCGCATGCTCCATGACAGTTTGATAGTCGTGATAGAGACCATATGGCTCATTAAACCAAAACTATTTACTGTCGGGTCCAGAGACACTCAGCTTCGGCATAATTGAGATCCAGGACTGGGTAATTCCTTGTCACAGAAGCACTATTCTATGCATTGTAGGCCTACAGTGTGGCAACATTCTTGACCTCCACCCACACCAATGGCATCTTCCCTTCAATAACGCTTTACTCCTCTCCAACCACTCCTCCACCCCAGTTTTGACAAAAAAGAGTCTCCAGACATTGTCAAATATTTCTTGGGGCAAGCTTATCTCTACTTGAGAACCACTAATCTGGCTCTTTATAGAAAATGTTGTCAACCCCTGAACAATAATATCTTTCAGGAAAGAAAGTGTCCAGTTCATTTTGCATTCCAAACACCGTGCCTAAAACATAATAATAGAAGCTCATTAAATCAATCACTTAAAGGTAACTGAAAGATCACAAGACACTGCAAAGCAATTTAAACTTCATAAGCATTTTAGACCTGAATGGGACACTTGTGATCATCAAGCAGATACCCGATTTTACAGCTAAGCTTTGCTTCCTTAAACATTTTAAACATCACCCATAAGAACTATTACATTAATATCTACGAAGAAAAGTTATGTTAAGAAAGATAATCTATCACAATCCCATTTGATTGCCAGGAATTTTAAAAATGTGAAATCACTGTATTCATATTTCACATATGCACATATATTTATCCATGAGTGAGTTTTTTTTTTACTATGTCTATAAAGAAGAAATAATTCTCCTTTGGCAGATGGGATCATTTCAATCGTGGTCAAAATATAATATGGAGAAACAGCAACTTTCTTACAATCAATCAAGGAATTCATCTGGGGGACATAAATTACTTTCCACTGTCTTTAATAATTTGATATTATATACAGCATTGCTGTAACTACAAAAACTCTGTTTTCAAATGGATGGTATGCATGCCAGAAAAGCTAACAAATGACGATGAGGTACTGTAAGCACCAATGGAATGACAAAATAGCTAGCATTTCTTGAGCACTCACTATGAAACAGATTCAGCTAAAGGTTTTATTGCATCATCTCATTTGATTCTCATAAGAAGTCTAGGAGATAAATACTATTAAGATACCAGTTTTATAAATAAATAAATTGGGTTTCAGAGATGCTAACTAACTTGCCCAAGGTATGTAGGTAGTAAGTGGTAAAACAAAAATTTGAACCTGGAAGTCCATCTCCAAATCTGAGCTGACACAACCTATATGACATAAATGTGCTTGGAATTCAGAAGTGAGAAAAGACCACTGTTAATCCAGTGATCAGTCAAGCAGGTGACCATGAGATAGGTTCTAGCAGAAAGGGTAAGCATCAGACAGAAGACAGAAAGGGAGAAATTCTTGGCTAGAAGAACCAAATAAACAAGTTATAAAAAAAAAAAAAAACTTAAAACATGTATTTAGAATAATAGGAAAAGACCATTCTGGTTACAGTTAGGGAGGAGCTATGAGAAGGAGGCAGCAAAGTTGAAGACAAACTGCAGAAGGCCTTGAGTGGGAGCCTAAGGAAGGCATGTTCTAGTGGGCACTCGGTGTTTCCAAAGAAATGCACAAAGAGCAAAACGGGGCAGAATGCAGCATGGAGAGAAAGCAGAGAGCTCAGAGGTAGAAAAACTCATCATGACGTAGGTGAAGTACTACGGGGCAGAGGGAGAGGCAGAATTGAAGGGACAGAGATGAGTGAGAAATATACAGGGAATTGCCAAGGGGATTTTCTGTTTGATTAAATGAGGGCAAAAAGGAAGAAGGGAAATGAGAAGGAAAGATCACATCTGACTTCTTTGAGATTTCTAACTCAAGGGCATAGGTAATAATAGTATGAGCTCTTCTAACCCTATTGAATTCTACATAACCACGCCCCATACTTCTCACACTTAGCATACTGGACCCACCTCTCTTCTAGAAGTCACGGGTCATCCTATGCTGCTTTCCTTATCTTTCCTTTTTCAAACCTTATAACTATTTTGTTTTGCCTTTTTCCCTACCATGTCCTGGAAAGACGCATTTTTTATCTTCCTGAGCTTAAGAAGTTGCAGGTCAAGAGAGGGGTTCTATGAAAGGATAGACTAACATTTGTTTTTAACTCTGAAAAGAAGAAACAAATACACAAATATCAAAGGTGCAAGAAAAAAGTTCTAGAGATCTGTGTACAACCATGTGAATGTCGTCAAAAATACTATAGCATACACTTAAAATTTTATTAAAAGAGCAGATTTAGGGCTACGTGTTTTTTTTTTAACTACAGTTTTTAAAAGAAAAAAAAATACAGATACTGCAAGAAAGAATGGGAATAACTGGGTAATTCAAGAGTTGAAAGGGAGATAAGGACACGCTGAGCACAAGAAACAGGTGAGCTTACAAAGATAGACACCTCACTTTCTAGGATAAAGGGAAAGAGAAAATCAACCTAGATATGGGATAACAGGCAGATGAAGACTCTGAGGCAGAGATAAGCTTGATAAATTGACATTGCCTAGCCTGGATCTTTTTAGAAAAGCATCATATCCAGCCTTAGAGATTTCTTTCCTTTCATTACCTCTCTCGCTGAGCCATGGCCACCAGCGCCTCTTGGAATTTTCTTGAATGTGTCAAGCTTTTCCTTGCTTTAGGTCCTTTTTGTTCTAGTAGCTTCCTCTGATTGGAATGGCCTCTCCCCAAGATTTTGGGTGTGTGACTGAGTTCTTCTTTCATCTCAGGTCTCAATTATTACATCCTCAGAGAGTCCCACCCTGACCACTCAGGCTCCTGGAGACCCACTCACTATCTCATTGATTTGGTTTGGCTGTGTCCCCACCCAAGTCTCATCTTGAATTGTAGTTCCCATAATCTAGCAAGTCACTCATTTACTTATGCATGAATGCAGTAAATATTCATGGAATGCCTACTCTGTCATAAAATCTGTTCAAAGAGTGGGAGTATGTGGTGAATGACAGCATGTGTAAGGCCTATGAGCCTATGGAATTCACATTGTGGTTGAAGGAGACTAAGAATAAATGCAAAACAGATAATTAAGATACTTTCAGATAATGATAAGTGGCATGAAGGAAATGAAATGGAATAATGGGTATATTAGTCCATTTTCACACTGCTAATAAAGACATACCTGAGACTGGGTAATTTATAAAGAAAATAGGTTTAATTGACTCACAATTCAGCACAGCTGGGAGGCCTCAGGAAACTTACAATAATGGTGGAAGGGGAAGCAAACATGTCCTTCCTCACATGGCAACAGCAAGGAGAAGTGCCGATGAGAGAGCATGTGTCATGAGAGGGACCCGGTGGGAGGTAACTGAATCATGGAGGCGGTTACTCTCATGCTGTTCTTGTGATACTGAGTTCTCACAAGATCTGATGGTTTTATAAAGGGCTTTTCCATCTTTTGCTTGGCACTTCTCCTTGCTGCTGCCATGTGAAGAAGGACATGTTTGCTTCCCCTTCCATCATTATTGTAAGTTTCCTGAGGCCTCCCAGCTGTGCTGAATTGGAGTCAATTAAACCTATTTTTTTTATAAATTACCCAGTCTCAGGTATGTCTTTATTAGCAGTGTGAAAATGGACTAATATACCCATTATTCCATTTCATTTCCTTCATGCCACTTATCATTATCTGAAAGTATCTTAATTATCTGTTTTGCATTTATTCTTAGTCTCCTTCAACCACAATGTGAATTCCATAGGCTCATAGACCTTACACATGCTGTCATTCACCACATACTCCCACTCTTTGAACAGATTTTATGACAGAGTAGGCATTCCATAAATATTTACTGCATTCATGAATAAGTAAATGAGTGACATGCTGTTGACAAAATGAACATAAGCAGAAATTGGAACTTTGGAACAATAATTCCATCACTGATGTTCATGAATACTTATTAATTTATTGAAGAATATTTCCCACCTGTTCTTGTGTCAGGACCTATGTTTAACTTCAAAGGGAATGTGCAGTCTACCTAAATCCTTGTTCCTGTCTTCTAGAAGCTCAGTCTATTGAGGAAACATATGAACAGTGCACATTAAAGTGCACTGTGATGAAGACTATAACAAAAATTGCAATGCACTGAAGTTTTGAACTGAGGGCTATAGGAGCATATAATAAACTACTTCTAACTTAAGCAAGGTTAAAACAAGAAAACAATTCCACTGAAGTGCTAAGGATACTAGAGTTCAGAGTCTGACATGTAAATGTAGAGGGTTAAAGAGTAACCATGAAGTAGGGGACACCAGAAGTATGTACCACCTTCCCGAGAAGTTTTTCATTGAAAGCAAGGAATGAGCTCAGGTGTAAATTGAGCAGGAGACAGTATCAAAGAAATGATTTTGAGTATGTCTCTAGCTGAGGAGATGGAGCAGAGGAGAAGGGGAGATAGAAGGCTAAGAGAGGAAATCTTTAAAGGGCTGAATCTCAAAGAAGGCAAAAGAAGAGAGGAAAGTTTATTCTGTAAGATGGGGGGAAGAAGGTAGCAATGAGAGTCTTTGAAGGTAAGTTTTAAGGTGGAGGGAGAGAAGCTTAGCAAGCATTACCTGAACAGTTTCTATTTTCCCTACAAAGTATGAGATAGAACATCTTCTGGTATTGGCTGGTGAGGGAAAAGCTGATGGAGAGGGAAGGAGGAGAATTTTATTGGTTGATAATTGGTGTGCAATGTTGCTGCCCTAAGCAGCATCTTCACTGATTTGTGATGTGAAAAATGTGTCCTTGTATCTCTCTTAAAATCTATGCAGAAACGATTTGTGGCACATGAGCCACATGAGGAACAGAAGACAAGGTTACAAAAGCACCATAACACTAATGGAATAGTCGTTTCTGCATCTGCAAAACAATTTTTGAAAACATAAGCTAATTAATTAGCTCAGTGATTGCTTTATCCCTGTAGGTATATGTGTACAAGGACTAGGGTTTTTTTTAAATCTCCTTTGAGGCATTCAAAGACGCAAGAGATTTTGTCTCAGTAGGAATGTTGTGGTAGATTACATTTGCTGTAAATAAGTGACATTTTTAGAAAGCAATGAGTTCCACTGAATTTATCTTGACGAGCAAAAAAAAAAAAAAAAAATGCAAAGCTAAATAAGTGATTCCCAAGATCAGACTGAAAATTCATAATAAGTCTAAAAAGTAGCTGCTCCTCATTCTGGTGTTTTGAAGGCATTAAAGGCAAATAGCTCCAACTTCATGGAAAATATTAGACTGAGACAAAAAGAAAAGATGTGCCGCCTATCTCAAGACCAAACGATCACACTGCTTGTCAATCATGCCAAGAGCCGCAACTTCCCTCTCAGGTTCCATAATGAAAATCATTCCTTTATTAGCAGATTTGAACAATATCAATTTGCCCAAAGTGGGAAATCAAGAAAAAATGGCCTTCCTCTCAGCACAGTCAATGGCAAGGTAAAAGAAATAGGTAATTGCATCTAGTCTCCCAGAAGAACATTTCTGCCTAAGTGACCTTTCCTATAAAGTAGAGCCTCTAAGCAGGAGTGAGAGACCATTCCTTACAGTAAGTTTAACCACAGAATTCTTAGCCTTTCCAGAGGGCTTATTTCCCTTTCTTCATCACTAGCTCTTATGACTGAGTTCGTAGAAAGGGCAGAAAAGCAGGATGTTGACAGTATTCACATCTCAACTCCAACACTTAGAATGATGTGAATGGGCAAGACACTCGCTCTCTTTAAATTCAAGTTAGTAACAATAATAAAATCCAACCCATAAGTTTTTTGTGAGAATTAAATTAGGAAATACATTTGAAGTACATAGCACCATGTAGAAACACACTTCACATGTGTTCACATTAAGTGTTCAATAATTGCTAGTCTATTGCTGCTGCTATGATTATAATTGCTGTGGTTGTAATGGTTTTTGAGATAATCAAGTAAAGGACTGAGTAATAAATTATTCTAAGTGAGTAATAGGTGATGGTAGTGGCTGGGAACCTCAACTCCTACCACAAGGGCAACCCAATAAATGTCTGTGGGACATGTAAAGTCAACTGATTTGGAGATTAATGAGGAAAGTCTTTCACAGGATAAACCGGAGCTAATCAATTAGCCTTATTCTTTCT